TTTTTTTTTTTTTTTGAGACACAACGCCCAGCTATTTTTTGGTTCCAGCCATCATTGTTGTTTGGCGGGCCCGAGCTGGATTTGGACAGGTGTATGTGGCTGGCACCTTAGTTGCTTGAGCCACAGGCACCGAGCCTTTCCTTGTTCTTTTTAAAAGCCCCTTTCTCAGGGAGACCATTCAAGGTCTGAACACTAAACCAGAGGCTCTTGCTGCCTCTTCTCATCGCCCCTTGTGTTATGCTTTTAACACGTGACATCTCATTTAATGCCCATCACCAGTCAGCCTAGCTGTGTGAGGCAGGTATCCTGTTTGAGCACTGCAGTGTCACCATATTACAGAAGTCGAGGATGACTTACATTTGAACTTGCAGAATGGCTCGGCACCCGTCGCTCAAGTGGCTAAGGCGCCAGCCACATACACCTAAGGTGGTGGGTTCGAATCCAGCCCAGGCCTGCCAGAACAACAATGACGGCTGCAACCAAAAAATAGCCGGGCATTGTGGTGGGCGCCTGTGGTCCCCGCTACTTGGGAGGCTGAGGCAGGAGACTCGCGTGAGCCCAAGAGTTGGAGGTTGTTGTGAGCTGTGATGCCTCAGCACTCTACCCAGGGGGACAGCTTTAGGCTCTGTCTCAAAAAAAATAAAAAAGAACCTGCGGAATGTGCTTGTGGAACAGGACAAGACTGGAGAACTTGTGTGTCCCTGCTTGTGAGGGCCATGAGCATGTCCCACCGACATCACATTCAGAGCTCCCTGTGCGGCCAGAATGCCCCTGTCTGCCATCACAAAATGATGGGGCATTCCCTTCTTTCATTCTTTTATCTTGATGGGACTTTTCTGAGTGGTGTTTTCTGAGGACTCCTTAGGGAGGGGTGACCCCAGCACAGGGCTGTGCATCTGGTGACAATCTCGATCCAAGTTCTCAATGCCACCACCAAGGCTCACCTTGCACAGGGCAGGGGTGCAGGGAAGCTGTCATCCCAGAGTCCAGCCCTTGACCCTGGCAGGATGGTCTGGTCCCCACACAAGTGCTAGTCTGAAAGCTTTAGCATAGGGATGGCTGCCTAAAGGGGCCAGTGGTGTGTGCAACCTCAGGGACGTACCTTATGGGACAGTAGCCCTGGGGAGGGCCTCCAATTGGCTGGAAGAAAACGGTGGGGCTGTTGCACAGAGGGCAGCAGGAGATGGTTTAGCAAAGGAGCAGCAGAGCAGCCATTTTCCTTTGTTTTTTTTGAGACTGAGCCTCAAGCTGTCACTCTGGGTAGTAGAGTGCTGTGGCATCACAGCTCACAGCAACCTCCAAATCCTGGGCTTAAGTAATTCTCTTTCCTCAGTCTCCCAAGTAGCTGGCACTACAAGCCCCCGCCCAGCTATTTTTGTTGTTGTTGTTGAAGTTGTCATTATTGTTTAGCTGGCCCAGGCTGGGTTTGAACCTGCCAGCCTTGGTGTACCTGGCTGGCGCCCTACCCGCTGAGCTATAGGTGCTGCCTGCAGGTGCTCTTAATAAACCTCTGCTAGTAACTCTGTTCGGCCTGGTTCTTTTTGGCACCTCTCCACCTTTCAACAAATAACAAACAGTCCTGTCGGGTGGGTTCCACCCATTCCAATAGGGCCTCATGGTAACTAACTGCCAAGTGTAACCACCATACTATTTCCATAGACTGTTCCATTCTGTGGTCTGGGGAGTTGGGACTTTAGCATGTAGTGACTATATAATTACAGTCCATGCAGTGTCATTATTATGGCTTGGGCCTCTTCTTGGGTTCTGCAGATTAAACTTGCACCAAGCTCTCAGGTGGGGCATTACCTGACAGCCCAGAATGACCTGTGGGCCTCTACACCATGGATGGTCTCTCCTGAACCCTGAAGGGCAGCTTTTCATGTTGTGATGGACCCTTCTGCCTTGTAAGGAGCAGATCACCATGTTCATCATCCTGAGTGGAGGCCCAGGCTGGCTCCAGGGCAGTCACGGTGCAGTGCCCTGCTGCTATGATGTGTTCCTCACCAGCTGTCAGGGTTCCCGGGATGTCCAGGGTCCATCTGTCCTCTCTGACCATCACCAGAGTGAGCACATCTCTGACACGTGGATGAGCGTGGCTGCCTGGACTCCCAGCTCAGCTCATTTCTCCAGGGGGTGGGGCTCAGTGCAGCTGCCACCCTGACAGAGAATCCTCCCTCCCCCGTCCACTCTGACACTGAGATATCTGCTTTTCTCCTCCGACTGCATGTCCTGCAGCCTATTGCTGTTGAGTGTGGAATATTCCACACAAAA